CCAGAGAGCTTAAAAAATGAATCAGGATCTCTGGGGATGGTGTCTAGGAATCTTCATTTCTTTAAAACTTTTCAAGTGATTCTAAGGTGAAGCCAAACATGGGACCCATGGTTTACAGTCCACTCTCTCCTCTTAACACTATGGCTTTTTGCCTTAATCAAAGAAATTAAAGTCCTAAATTTCCTCATATTAAATTTCCATATGCTATATGAGGATGCTATGAGAAAAAGCTTTAGACTTCCTGGGAGAAAACTAAGTAAATCTGAGGTGCATGTATTATTTCACACAGTTTTAATCAGACAGAAGCAAGTAAGTTTAAGAAACTGTTAAATAATAAAAATATGAAAAATGTATTCATTCAGAACATAGGTTGTTAGCATCTACTGTGGGAGGCCACAGAAGCAAACAAAGTTTGTTCCCTCATCAAGGAGTCTATCATCTGCTAAGGTGGATGGATTGTACATGGGGATCAAACTCAGATGTCCCCAGGGGCCAGCAGGTGATGTCAAGGGGTGAGCAAGAGAGAGTACTAACAGTTCCAAATGTTAATAAGAGCCCAGTTTGCCAGATCTTCCTTTTTATTCTCCAATAAAGATTGGAAATCTGGATTTTTGTAAGAAGTATCCTACCACCTATAAATGTTGGCAATGATTTGACTTTTTAAAAAATACTTTGTATGCCCAACAAAATTTGAGCATGGGCTATATACATCCCTAAGGCCATCAGCCAGCACTTGGGACCTTCTCTGCATACATAAGTTACACAAAGGGAAGTGTGCTGCAGGCTGTGATGTCTGAATTCAAAGGAGGGCAATGTGGCTTTAGGTGAATTTAAACTCTAAAATCAGAGCAGGCCCTGGATAAAACCCTGGCTCATCTATTTAGAGCCACATTTTGAGCCTTGGCTTCTGCATTTATATAATGGAAATAATAATGTCTCCTGTGTATGTTGATTATGAAGCTTAAATGAGGTAATGTTGATGAAATGTTTAACAATGCTTGCTGCACAGTGATCACCAATAAATGCTGTTGCTGCTAATACTAATAATGTCCTTTCCAATTAAAGGATACCTTAGGAAAGCCTGCTGCTAAGGATGTCCATCTTGTGGATCACTGCAAATACAAGTAAGATTTCCAGGACTCCTGAGTCTCTTGGTTTCCATATTGCTTTTGAAATAGCTTCACTTTGGGTGAGAACTTTAATATAATGGCCCAGCTGCAGTGTATGAAAGTTGCACTAATTCATTTCACTGGCTTTTCCTGAGGGCCTATGTGCACTGACCCGAGTTCTACAGGGACTGTAGAGAAGAATGGAACATAGTTCCTGCGTCCAGACAGCTGCGTGTTAGTAATCACAGTAATGGAATTACCTCTCCATATGTCCCACCCACCCAATAGTTGAAGTTAGAATAAATATTTCTCTGATTAATAAATATTAGAATTATTATCCTGGTATGGTGGCATGCTCCTGTAGTCTTAGCTACTCGAAAGGCTGAGGTAGGAGTATCCTTTGAGCCCAAGAGTTCAAAAGCAGCCTGGGCTACATAGTGAGATCCTGTCTCTAAGAGAAATAAAATAAAATTCTGGGACTAAGAATTAGATGAACAGGTAAAACCAGGTCTAGAGGAGGACAGTGGTGGTAAGGGTGGCTCAGAGATAAGAGTGCCAGTGACAGACAGAGTAGCAACCACATGATAAAAGCAACTCTGCTTGGAGACAGGAGTATGCACAAGAAATGCTGAGAAGACAGCTTCCTCCCACCCCCATGGGCATTTCTTTGAAAACTGATTAGGTTTTCATCATTCTCCTCTGCATATCAGAGGTTCCCAACCCCTGGGCCGTGGTACTGGTCTGTTAGGCACTGGGCAAGCGAGCATTACCGCCTGAGCTCTGCCTTCTGTCAGATCTGCCTTGGCATTAGATTCTTATAGGAGCACAACCCATATTGTGAACTGCGCATGCAAGGGATCTAGGCTGCGTGCTCCTTATGAGAATCTAACTAATGCCTGATGATCTGAGGTGGAACAGTTTCATCCAAAACCATCTCCCGACCCTGCCCATCCATGGAAAAAATGTCTCCTATGAAACTGGTTGGGGACCACTACTCTATACTTCAAGAGAAGAAGGTGATGTCCAGGAAGCAGTGGAGACCTTTGACCAGATGGAGTACACTAGAGGAAAAATAAAGCTTTGGGAGCTTATGACTAGTTAGAGACATTAGGCCTAGAAAGGCTTGTGAAATATGTTTCACTCTTTATATTTTATGTTTACCATTGAACATTTATTTTCTCAAATATGTTCTAAATCTACAACAAGCTGTCATTTCCTTCTGAGTCCTGTATCCACTCTACCCGGCACCCAGCTCCTGACCCTATCTAGCTCTGTCTAGAGAAAATATCCCCTATTTTTCCTCACTCTGACATTCCGAGAGCAACCTGTAGTCCTAGCCCTGGTCAAGCAAGGAATTGATAGAAACCTGTTGGGAACATACTAATGTGTCCTTGAAAACTCAAAATGGAAAGAGAATGGAGAGGAATCATAAAAGGAAAGAAGGGGAGGAGAGAATAAGCATAAAAGGTCATATTTGTGGCAGCAGACATATAGTATCAAATGTATTTTGTTCTTTTTTCCCCAGGTATCTGTTTAATTTTCGGGGTGTAGCTGCAAGTTTCCGGTTTAAACATCTCTTCCTGTGTGGTTCACTTGTTTTCCATGTTGGTGATGAGTGGCTAGAGTTCTTCTATCCACAACTGAAGCCATGGGTTCACTATATCCCAGTCAAAACAGATCTCTCCAATGTCCAGTAAGCAGTTATCTACCAATGAAGACTTTCTAAAGACCCTTGCAATCTGCTTTAAAAAATTCAATAACTATGTAAATGCCTTAAAACCAGTCATGGAAGACATTTAGTCCTATGATTTTTTTCCATTGAAAGCTTTTTTTCCCCTTGGTTTGCACATATAGTATGGCATTATTATCCAAGTAGGCTATAAGTGGAATTTAATTTGAAAAAGTGCTTTAATACTGGTTTCAAATGAAACATTCAGACAAAATGAAGTGAAAATGCTCTTATCTCTTGAAGACTAAAGACAGGGATATTCAATCTTATTATATTGTCAAAAGGATTTTCAGATACAGCATGAGAATTGTCTCAAGTGAAGCTTAGGCAAATTTCCTGTCATGATGGGAGGAGTTAGGAAGAGGTCGACAGAAGGGCCAGAAATGTGAACCCACTTCACTCTTCTGGTGCCCAGAGCAAGAATTTGGAGAAAAGGATGGAAATTATATTTCACTCTTTATATATATACATATACATATATATATATATATATATATATATGGAGAGAGAGAGAGAGAGAGAGTAACTTCTGTATTTTCTCAAATATGCCCCAAATCTACTATAGGCTGCCTTTAATCAGTATATGAGCTTTTTTTAATTATTATTTTGTTCTTGAGAGGACCCTGATATCTTTGCTTTAAAGAAATAACTCACCATTCACATATCTAAAATTATCCATAGACCTCAATCTATATGGTCTTGCTGACTTCATGCTAATGAAGTTGGTCTATATTTCAGAGTCTAATAATTCTTTTCATTTTAGAGAGCTGTTACAATTTGTAAAAGCAAATGATGATGTAGCTCAAGAGATTGCTGAAAGGTGAGTTCTGTTCATTTTCCCTTTTCCACTTTATCATCCCCATTATGCCCTAGCTAAAGTTATCTGAATATTCTTACCATAGTGATATCTATATTTCATCCTCATTATATGGAGATAATTCAGAACTAAAGCTGTCCTGGGGGAAAACATATACACATGCCTACATATGCCAAGCTTTATAGAGGTAGACTGAAATCTTTGAGGTAAACAGGTACTTTTTATGAACATTGGCTGTTTATATGCTTCTTTTAAAGAAAAATGATGTTAAGTTCTATTGCTACATGCATGTATGTGGATGCATGCATGTATGATTGCCAGAGGGTTGGTTCTTGAGGCTCAAATGAATTAATGTATATAAAGTACCCTGAATAATGCTTGGCACAAGGTAAGCACTCAAATGTAGACTTTTATTAAATTTTGTGCTTTAACATTTTCTTGTTAAATCTTGTCTCTAGGGGAAGCCAGTTTATTAGGAACCACTTGCAGATGGATGACATCACCTGTTACTGGGAGAACCTCTTGACTGAATACTCTAAATTCTTGTCTTACAATGTAACAAGAAGGAAAGGTTATGATCAGATTATTCCCAAAATGTTGAAAACTGAACTATAGTAGTCACCATAGGACCACAGTCCTCTCTGTAGCAACAGATCTCAGATATCCTATGGTGAGAAGCTTACCATAAGCTGGGCACCCATACTTTGAATACCTGTTACCAAGCCAAATACCTGGTTTTCCTTATCATGCTGCACTCAGAGCAATTCTTGGGAAAGATTTAAAATGTGTCTAATACACTGATATGAAGCAGTTCAACTTTTTGGATGAATAAGGACCAGAAATCATGAGATGTGGATTTTGAACCCAACTCTACCTTTCATTTTCTTAAGACCAATCACTGCTTGTGCCTCAGGTCATCCATCTGTGTGTGTCCATCACTGTGAAATTGACTGTGTCCATGTGATGATGCCCTTTGTCCCATTATTTGGAGCAGAAAATTCATCATTTGGAAGTAGTACAACTCATTGCTGGAATTGTGAAATTATTCTAGGCATGATTCTCTGTTGCTTTATTTTAATGTAGGAAACCCTATGGGGTTTATGAAAAATACTTGGGGATCCTTCTCTGAACCTTCTAAGGAAGCAGTAGCCATGCCATGCAATGATGTAGGAGTTCTCTTTTGTAAAAGCATAAACTCTGTTACTCAGGAGGTTTCTATAATGCCACAGAAAGAGGCCAATTGCATGAGTAATTATTGTAATTGGATTTCACGTTCCCTTTTTGTGCCTTCATGCCCTACTTCTTAATGTCTCTCTAAAGAAAAAAAAAGACAAAACCCTCTTAATAAATTTAGGAAGTATTCCTCATTCTTTAGTAGAACTATACATAGAGCAGCCGCTCTTCCTCACCCTTTGCACACCTTTAATATTTTTCCTTCTTAAATTGGCCACAGCAGAGGTCATTCACACTCTGTCTTGCAGGAACCACAAGGAGTCTTCATATGTAAACGTGCCATTCAGTTGGTAGTTTAGAGCATTCAACTTCAAATATATAGAAGATATTTGTTTTAGTATAAATCCATGATGGAGTGACTCCTTTTTCATTTTTTTAAAAAGACATTTTGCTTAGTAGTTTAACCTCTCTTTCTAACATAGTAGAAAATGAAGAAAAATGTTGAGATTAAAACTCTGGAGTCTGATGACTTAGAACTATCCTTGACTCTTAGACCCAATCTTTCCACGGAGAAATCACCTTTGCCTCTTAAGAACTATTTGGTATTAACTAGTTTCAGAATTAGTAAATGTGAGATTCAGTCACATAAAATCAGACATTCCATTTGTCAGCAATGTATTTGGCTTTTTAAACTGCTTTCCACAAAATTTTAAGTCTAATGACCTTTTTAGAGAGGTTGAACATCCCTGGTAAGATCATTTCATGGAATAAGTAGATGTTTAAAGTTGGATTTTTTTTTTTCCGAGTACTAGTATTGCATAGGGACCGTGTCCTCAGGTGCTATGAGTCTAGCAATAGGCAGTTCAGATTTCTGAGTTGTACTATGGTTTTGCCTGATCACTATGAGGTCCTACTAGGTGTAATCATTCTCTCTGTGTTTTAATTTCCTCTCATTAAAATAGAAACAAAATTTGCTCTTTTAGATTAGGAGCTGAAGATTCATTTCCCTGGAAATGTTTCCCATTTAGCTTCAAGTTGCACCTCAAACGTCACCTTCTTTCTGACTCCTTTCATTCATTCCTCAAGGCAGTTAGGGGCTACCATAGTACATTGCTTATGCCTGTATTATATGCCATCACTGTAATTGCTTGACTGTGAGCTTATTAACATGTGAGAATCTAGTTTTACTCATCTTGATGTCTCCATGATCCAGCACAGTGCCTCACACAGAGTAGATCCCAAAGAACTGTTGGGTGGGTGGACAGATGGAGGAATGGAGACAGTTGGCTTAACTAGATCCTATATACAGATTGTTATTGGCTCCAAAGGACAATTAGATAAAACTGTAAGAACTGGATCCATGTAAATCCTCACCTGCCCTTTGAAGGACCAATAAGGGCATCTTTGTCTTTAAATATAACGAATGTTATTCAGACTTTGTACTTGTCTGTTTATCTCAGTGTAGATGATATGAGGATGGTGTGTAACTATGTAAAATGTTTGTTTTTGAAAATAATTCGTATCCCCACAACTTTTGAAGGTTTTGTTGTCATTATTACTAATTTAGTCCCAAACTTACCCTTTCCTTTTCAGAGACCTAATGGCCATGCTTTTCATCAAGGAAAGAATAGTTTATTTGAATGAAACAGGATACTTAGATAACACAAATAATGCTTTTTCTTTATTTATTTTGGGAGTGTTATCTATGTGCTGTCAGTGACTCACCTTATTCTGCTATATCCAGTCAGATTTTCCTAGTTGTCAAGAACAGAAACTGCCTCTAGCTAGTTTAAGCAAAGTAACTTACTAGAAGGATATGAGAGCATCTTGTGGAATCTAAACAAGTTTCATAGTGGTTAGAAGGACAGAAGCAAGGGCACCTCCAGGAATCTCAGCAATAATTTTGACTGTTTCCAGGGTGCTGCTATCATGTAGTTCCATTGCCTATTAGGCTCTGTCTCAGCCCAAAATTCCCAAGAGCAAAAAATTTAATGGGCTCATTTGAGTCACCTCCAAGAGCTCCCTACACTTAACCTGTATACTGACTACAAACAAGAGCACAAACAGGCCAGACACAGTGGCTTATACCTGTAATCACAGCTCTTTAGGAGGCTGAGGCAGAAGGATCACTTACTCCCAGGAGTTCAAGACCAGCCTGGGCAATATAGTGAGACCTTGGCTCTACAGGAAAAAAAAAAAAAAAAAAAAAAAAAAGAGGCAGGAGGATAGCATGAGCTCAGGATGTTGAGGCAGCAATGAGCCATGATCATGCCACTGCACTCCCACCTGGGCAATGGGAGTGAGACCCTTTTTCCAAAAAAAAAGAAAGCACAGATGCACAAAAGTCTATCATTACATGCATCTAAAGATACCCTCTCTTAGGATAATCTTACTGCATCCAGAAGTAAGATGTTGTGGATGAACACAGAGTTACATTTACAAGTCACTCATTTAATACTTACCAGATACTTCTTAAGCATCTACTATGCACAGAGGCAAGTAAAGTTTACAAGTGGCTCCCTAACCTCAAGGGGCTGTGTTGTTGAGATGATAAACAATATGAGAGGCGTCACACATACTTGGAAGGTGATTAAGGCAACAGGAATGCTGATTATTCATGAAGACAATGTGGATCTGGAGTTTAGAAGAAGAAGAAACTTCCAACTGGAGCAGATGGGAAATTCTGTGGAGGTAAAAATTAATTTACACCACAAAGGATGAGTAAATGAAATGGTCTTTGGAGTTCTCAAAATTCATTCTCTCTATCTGTGGGAAAATTTTCTATATAATGTAACAAAATGTAAAATACGTAGCAAGGGCAGTACTTGGTGAGCCTGGCAGGAAAGGGAACCTGCTAACCCCTAGGGAAAAAATTCACTGAGGGAAGAAACTATTAGGTTCTATAAACAGAGTTCAGCAACAAGGGCTAAAGGTAGAAGAATGGTGTTCCATGCAGTATGCTGATTGCACTGAAATCCTTCCCTGCTGGCAAACACAAGTCCTGGGGACAAGCCAGCCGTGTGTGAAACAGTCCAGTAAACCCTGTAACACCTTTTGCCTTAGACCAAGCTTGTTCAACCCATGGCTCATGAGCTGCAGGTGGCCAAGGAAAGCATTGAATGTGGCCCAACACAAATTTGCAAACGTTCTTAAAACATGAGATGTATGCATGAACTTTTTTTTTTTTTTTTAAGCTCATCAGCTACATTTAGTGTTATTTGTGGCCCAAGATAATTCTCCATTTTCCAATGTGGCCCAGGGAAGCCAAAAGATTGGACACTCCTGGATTAGACTGTGTTGATCTGAGAACCTTCAAAAAGAAGACTACAGGGCTGGGCACAGTGGCTCACACCTGTAATCCCAGCACATTGGAAGGCTTAGGCGGCCAGATCACTTGAGGCCAGGAAAACTCCAGACCAGCCTGGCCAACACGGTGAAATACCATCTTTACTAAAAATACAAAAATTAGCTGGGGGTGGTGGCACATGCCTATAATCCCAGCTACTTGGGAGGCTCAGACACAAGAATTACTTGAACTTAGGAGGCAGAGGTTGTGGTGAGCCAAAATCATGCCACTGTCCTCCAGCCTGGGTGACAGAGCTAAGACTGTATCCAAAAAAAAGAAAAGAAAAAGCAAACTACAGAGGAGGGTATTTCCCTCATGGTAAAAGAAGGTAAGTCCTAAGGGATTGGGGAAGTAGGAAACATGGGAGGGCTCAGATGGAAGAGCAGCAACAGTGTGAGCAGCAGCCAAAGGACTGGGGACTTTTTTTAAGGTATTAGGTAGCAAGAGGAACCTTACAAATTAGTCTTCAGTTACCCAAAGGAGAAACAAGTTACGGAGTTTAAAATTTGCCTGTTAATATAACCTCATCTACAGGCTAGTAAATCCTGGGGCATTTGAGCTGTATATAAAGGATTTCATCAGTATCTTCCCAATACCTACCCAAACCCTCCTACCCATTTCAAGTCCTCCCTCATCCCAGAATAATTCTGGGGTCGTCTTAAGCATTTAGCTTTTCCACATACAGGTTAGAAACAGACTGTACAGCCATTTTCTTGGGCTTTCAGGCCTTGGTGGCTTATCTTGGTGCCCACCTCTACCTAACATGGGATAAGCAGCAACCCAGAGCCAGAAGTCAGGGGATCTGAATTATCCATTCAACAAATACTGAGCACCAACCACGGTTCTAGGTCTTGGAGGTACAGAGATGAATATATTTGGTCTCTGACCTCAAGGATAGTTTATTGAGACAGATTAACAAATAGGAAATTATGATGCAGTGTAATGAGTGCTACGATGGGTGCTGAATCAAATCTTGTCTCCCAGAGTAGTTTTCATGGAGCTGTCGCTAATTCAGCTGGTAACTCTAGTCAGCCACTTCTTGGGGACTTATGTGTAGAATTTCCAGCTATCAAAATCCGTAAGTCTACTTACTGTACACTACCACACTACTACTACTACAGTGTGGCAATTATGATTTACAACTAGAAAGGAATAAAGAAGGTGACGGGATTGGCAGTAAGGGAATATGCTTCTTAATATAATGAAATTACACAAATATTGAGAATATTTAAAATGCATTCATTTTAATGAAAACTATACTTCGAAGCATATGTTAGCAGAGGTAGTGAAGGGAAATTCTTACTGGACTATCAAACGCTTGATAGAAATTCCAGAAATTTTCCTGCCTTTTGAGAAGCAGTACACACATATGAACTAAAGGGAGTGCAATCTACATTATCTTGAAGACCTGCCAAAAAGCTGATCCTTCAAAAAAGTGTTCTCGAAATCTTGGTGTAACTGGCACCAAGACCCATTTCCAATGGCTCGTTTTTTTAGGAAACAGAACTGACAAGGTACAAACGGACCCCGCCCAGCCTGGAAGGCTTCTCCAATGCTGGCAGAGTAGGTTGGACTTGTTTTTGCACAAATCGCCTTTCCCTCTTTCCGTACTCCACTTGCACTTGAATATTGCACTTTCTTCCTCATTTAAGCGGGATTTCTGGCATTTTTATTACGCGAAATTACATTAACCTGTTACTACCTCGAGCTGAACGTAACCAACCGCAGACTCCGTTGGCATGACCCAGGAGCCACTGAGACTCGGAGCAAAGGCCTGCCGGGATCACGCTGAGCTTCTTCACCTGTAGCTGCCAACTCACTTCCGGGGGTGGGCTGAGCACAGCAGTAGCCACACCCGCCATCAACCGGAAGTGTTTTGGGCTCCGGCTTTGCCGTCGCCGTGGCCTCTGGCCTTTGCCCCGGTCGGGCGGGACTTCCTCTCTCTTGTTTGCAAGGACTCCAAAGTCAAGCCCAGGACTGAAGTCGCGCGTGTCAACCTCTCCGGCCGAGGGTTAGCCTTGTCCAAATGCACGGGTTCTCACCTTGTACAGTTACGCTGTCCCACGGCAAGTCCGAGAGGACTTGAAGTCCTGAGCGCCCAAGTGTGTCTGTCTGTAGGTCGAGAGAACGCCATGGAGGTGCCGCCACCGGCATCGCGGAGCTTCCTCTGTAGAGCACTGGGTCCTTTCCCCCGAGTCTTTGCTGCCGAACCTGTGACTGCCGATTCAGAGGCCCTTGCGGAGCGTCAGTGGCCGCCTACCGTCGTCCCAGAGCCCTGTTACCCGGAATCCGGATGGGACCGCCTCCGGGAGCTGTTTCTCAAAGAGTAAAAGTGCCTAGGGTCTGAGGTGGGGTGGGCGACTGCGAAAGCGATGTCCTGGAGCCTTGGTAGCCTGGGTCAGCCTTAGGACGCCAAGGATGGTGTGCTTCCTTTAAAAATTATATTTGGGGTTCTGATCATTGTAATCCAAGCTTATGTCTCTTTTTTTTTTGTCTTTTTTTTTTTTTTTTTTTTTTTTTTTTTTTTTTTTTTTTTTTTTTTTTTTTTTTTTGCCTTTTTTTTTTTTTTTTTTTTTTGCATCCTTTTTTAGACAGGATCTTGCTCTGTCACCCAGGTTGGAGTGCTGTGGTGCGATCTCGGCTCACTACAACCTTTACCTCTTGGACTCAAGTGAACCTCCCACCTCAGCCTCCTGAGTAACCGGGACTACTGGCGCGGGCCACCACGCCCGGCTAACTTTTTAAAATGTATTTTTTGTAGAGAGGGTTCGTGCCATGTTGGCCAGGCTGGTTTTGAACTCTTGGACTTGGGTGATGCTCCAGCCTTGGCCTCCCAAAGTGCTGGGATTACAGGCGTGAGCCACCGAGCCGGCCCAAACTTGTACGTTTTTTATTTTTGATTTTTTTGAGATTGACTTTCTCTATCACCCAGGCTGGAGTGCAGTGGCTCAATCTCAGCGCACTGCAGCCTCCATCTTCGGGTTCAAGTGATTCTCCTGCCTCAGCCTCCCTAGTAGCTGGGATTGCAGGTACCCACCACCACGCCCTGCTAAATTTTGTATTTTTAGTAGAGACAGGCACCACGCTGGTCTCAAACTCCTGACCTCAAATAATCTACCTGTTTCCGCCCCCCAGAGTGCTGGGATTACAGGCGTGAGCCATCTGGGCTGGACTGCGTCTGGCCTAGAAGGGCAATTATTTTATAGTAACTTAATACTACAGACAGCTATTTGTTAGATCAGTTTCAGGATGACCTCTTGGAAGCTCCATTAGCAGTTCTAGCTTCTTATGCATTTGAGAGTAATAAATTGAATTAAATTGTAGCTTTTCCTTGTTACTTTAGATTGGCATGTGCCACGCACTGCATAGTGAATTTTTCCAGTGCGTCTTTTAAAAAGCATTTGTTTATTTGTTTGTTTATTTTTAGAGCCAGGATCTTTGCTGTGTTGCTATGCTGGACCTGAACTCTTGGGCTCAAGTCCTGAATAAGTCTCCTAAGTAGTTGTGACTACAGGCATGTGACACTGTGCCCAGCCCAATGCTTTTATTAATACACCCCTATCAGAATATTTCATAAAATTATTTAGTAAAATAGAGTTTAGATTTTTTGCCTTACATCCACGTTTTTATTCTTTGATACATTGCCCTAAAATGTCACCAGTTGGTGTGATTTCTAAAAGTTAGCTTAAATTTTTTTTTTTTTTTTTTTTTTTAGACGGAGTTTTTTTTTTGTTACCCAGGCTGGAGTGCAATGGCACAATCTCGGCTCACCGCAACCTCCACCTCCTGGGTTCAGGCAATTCTCCTGCCTCAGCCTCCTGAGTAGCTGGGATTACAGGCACGTGCCACCATGCCCAGCTAATTTTTTGTATTTTTAGTAGAGACGGGGTTTCACCACGTTGACCAGGATGGTCTCGATCTCTTGACCTCGTGATCCACCTGCCTCGGCCTCCCAAAGTGCTGGGATTACAGGCGTGAGCCAACAGGGAAATATTGGTCTCTCTATCCAGCTCACAAATTTTCCTGTTTATAGGGTAATGTATAGGTGTAATAGTCATCAAATAAAAACACCTTTAAAATTTTTATTGGAGTACGAAATGCATTTGATAAAATGTACATAAGTATACTGATGAATGAATTTTCACAAACTGAACATAGCTATATCCAACACTCAGAAAGAAATGGCAACTATTATAACATCACAAAAGCTCCCCTTGTGCCTTTTCCAGTCATTGTCTTTTCAGGAGTTGCCACTATCCTAATTCTAACAGCATAGCTTAGTTTTGCCTGAGACTTACGTTCCTTTTAATATAGCTGAACTGTTTTATTCATCTGTGGATTCTGCCTATGATGAAAAATGTAGTGTTAGCATTTGGGATAATTCTGATTATAGAGTTTTTGGAGAGCAATGTCCATAAATTAATTACAAACAACATTGTCTTTTTGATGTTGTAGTGAACAGCAGAAACTTTCAAAAGAACTTACTGATATCTGTAAGGCGGCATTGACAGCAGGCATCATTGGCATGGTGTATGGAGGAGTACCAGGTTTTGTTAATGCTAAACAACGATACATTGAGCAAAGCCAGGCAGAAATTTATCATAGCCGGCTTGATGCTGTGGTATGTATTGGTGGTCTAAAGGAATTTGGGGCACACTGACTTAGCAATTCACTTTACATGTAATCATTCAATTAGGCTGTGGGGATGGAGGGTTGTTTTAAGATGTCAGGGTAAAGAAATAAAGTCTATACTTAGTTACAGTGAAAGTACTAATGCTAAAGTGCCTACATGTGGATTGAGAGACTACTTTCTTATCTTCAGAACAGGCATGTTTGGCATCACCACCGTGGCTTTTCTTTCTGAAATACATTTCTTCCAATCCCCTGCTAAATCATCAAGGCTCAACTGTAACATGTTTACCTCATTCATAAAGCCTCCATGAGTATACTAGCTCACACTAAAGCAATATTTAACATTTATAACTAACTTTTTCTTTATTCTTTTTTTTCCTCCCTTTTAATTCAGCTAGGATGAAAGTGGGTGAACATTTTTAACTTTTTCTTTTGAAATTATGGCAGGCTTGAAAGTTGCAAAAATAGAACAAAGATTTCCTATATACCTTTCATCCAGATTCTCCACTGTTAAACATTTTACCATGTTTGTTTTATCATTCTCCCTCTATATAATATGTATTAATTTTTTCTGACCTACTTGACAGTAGGTTATAGACATAATGAAGACTTCAGTGTGTTTTTCATAAAAACAAGAACATTCTCTTATATAACCACTATTATAATATCAAGATCAGGAAATTAACACTGATATAGTACTATTATTTAAAGAATTGTAAATTTTGCTAGTTATCCCACAATATGATTTATTTTAAAAATAAATTTAAAAAAAAATTTTATTCAGAAGTTAGGCTTGAGTTCTTATTAAAAAATTAATTAAAAAATTTTTTTGGTAGTCCAGAATCTGTTGAATTTGCTTGTCATGCAGCTTTGGTCTCATTTAGTCTGGAAGAGTTTCTCTGTTTTTTTTTGTTGTTGTTGTTGTTGTTGTTGTTTGTTTATTTTTCATGGCCTTGGCTATGGGTAATTTATTTTGTAGAATATCCCTCAATTTGGGTTTGTTTGATGGTTTCTCATGATTGCATTCAGGCTATGTTTTTTGACAGGAATACCCTAGAACTGATATTAAATCAGAAGCATGTGATATCTTTGTTCCTTTACTGGTGATGTTTACTTTAGTTACTTGGTTAAGATGGCCTCTGCCAATTATACCCTGTAAAATTACTGTTTTGCTTTTGTAATTTATAAGTATTTTGAGTACTTGTTAGTTCCTTTGAGACTATGTAAATATCCTACTTTTCATCAAATTTATTTTCATCAAATGCTATTTTGGCATTTATAGTTTTTTAATTTCTTTTAAAAAGTTATTTATTCATTTTTTTTTTTTTTTGACACAGGGTCTCACTCTGTTACCCAGGCTGGAGTGCAGTAGCACAATCTTGGCTCGCCACAACCTCCATTTCCCAGGCTTACACAATTCTCCTGCCTCAGCATCCCAAGTAGCTGGGACTATAGGCATGTGCCACCATGCCTGGCTAATTTTTTTGTAGAGACAGGGTTTTGGCCATGTTGCCCAGTCTGGTCTCAAACTCCTGAAGCACCATGCCCTTCTTGGCCTCCCAAAGTGTTGGTATTATAGGTGTAAGCCACTGTGCCCAGCCATATATATATATATGTACACACAGACACACACAGAGATTTATCCTTCACATACAGAGATTTATCCATTGTTAACAATTCACTGCACTTGCTTTATCTTCTTGCTACTATGTGTACTCTCCCTCTTCTCTGTGTGTGTGTGTACACACATGGGAAAACACATACACAATTTGAACGTAACTTTTTTTTATCTTTTAAGTACAGGGGTGCATGTGCAGGATTTGCAGGTTTGTTACTTAGGTTAATGTGTGTCATGGAGGTTTGCTATACAGATTCTTTGATCATCCAAGTATTAAGCCTAGTATCTATCTATCTATCTATCTATCTGTATATCTATATCTATATCTATATCTATGTTTTTTTCGAGGCAGGGTCTTGCTGTTTTACCCAGGCTGGAGTGCAGTGGCACGATCAAAGCTCACTGCAACCTCAAACTTCTGGACTTAAGCTTTCCTCCCAACTCAGCCTTCTGAGTAGCTAGGACTGCAAATGCATACCACCATGCTCAGCTAATTTTAAATTTTTTTTTTTTTTTTTTTTTTTGTAGAGACAGTATCTCACTGTGTTGCCCAGGCTGGTCTTGAACTTGTGGGCTCCAGCAATCCTCCCTCGTTGCCTCCCAGGTGCTGAGATTACAGGCATAAGCCACCATACCCAGGAAGTTTTAGCATTTAATGATGATTCTTGCCTGAAACAGATATAACTATGTTGACCAAATGGGCATTTTCTAAAGTCTATCATTCTTTCTACATTTATTGCTTAGTATTATGCTCTAAGGAATTATTTTCCCTTCCCCCTCTATTTACTTATTTATATATCTCTTTATAATTTATTTCTATCAGTAGGGACTCATGGATTCTTATTTTATATTGTAGATTTATAATTCGTTACAGGTTGAGCATCACAAATCTAAAATCCTGAATGCTCAGATTCAAAACTTTTTGAGCATCGACATGTCATTCAAAGGAGTTGCTCATTGGAGCATTTCAGATTTCAGTTTTTTGGATTTGGGATGCTCAACCAGTAAGTGTTAAATGCAAATATTCCCAAATGTGAAAAAATTCAAAATCCAAAACACTTCTGGTCTCAAATATCAGATAAGGGACATTCAACCATTTTCCATCTCCTGATAGGGTACACATGGAACTTAAGCCTCAATACTTAAGTATAATGTTTCTAGAGATTTTCTAGTATTTCTGTCTGTTTAGGTGTACCTGACTAATCCATAGCTAAAATTCCTCTACCACAGTTCTAGAATAAGGAAAATATGATGGTGTCTTGGAACCTCACAGTTTTTTTAATTAACTTTAGCAATGTGCACATCGTGCTGCCACACGAGGCTTCATTCGGTATGGCTGGCGCTGGAGTTGGAGAACTGCAGTGTTTGTGACTACATTCAAGTAAGTTCACTCTGAACTGTGAGATGGTGAATTTTCTTGATATTGTTTTAGAAGTGTGTCTTATGAGCGGGTGGGATTATGAAAACTGAATACCCACATGAAAGTGATTCATAATACCTTTTTTTAAAGAACTTTTGTTTATATAAAAGACTGGTGTAGTTATGGTTTTACATCCATGTCTGGAACACATTGAAGGGGCCTAGGCTAGGACCAGAGACTTGATACAGTAGGCTTTTCTAAATCTATTAAGTCTGCAAAAATAACACTCAAAAAGATAAATGGGATATGCTTTAAATATTATATTTTCCTTCTCACTTTTTCCTAGCACAGTGAACGCTGGTCTGAATGTATACCGAAATAAAAATGCCGTAAGCCATTTTGTAATTGCAGGAGGTAAGACATTTTTGTTTATATTTTTCAATCTTCTCAAATATAGCTTAGAAAATATATGAAGACTTATAAATCAGAACTACTGAATTCTTTGGTTGGCTTCCCATCACATCTCATCAACATTCATGCAAAATGTGTTTATAGACAGTGTTGTGCTTCACCCGTGGTATACTCAATGAGCAAAATAGCAAGGCCCTTTCTTTCTCTGGATTTTAGTGTCTAATATGTATGTGATAAAACAGGTTGCTGTGATAGAAAGTAATAACACGGTGAAAAACAGAATCTCATATGGACAGGGTAGTCAGAGAAGGCCGTTCTGAGGCAGTGACATTTGAGCTGATACCCAAAGAACAGGAAGGAACAAGCCTTGCAAGGAAGAGGGGACATCAAGGGGGAAGGCTCTAAGGTAATACATTTCCTCAAAAGCAGGTTAATAACCTGGTGAGTGAGGGGAGGAGTAGCTTGAGATGAGATTGGTGAGGACTATAGGGGACTAGATATTTTATGGTAAGAACTTGGATTTTATTTTAAAGCTCTCTGCCTCTAGTATATACATCTTCTTTTAAAAGAGCATTAAAAATAGAAGGTACAATGGTGATTACCGGGGACTGGATATGGGGTTGGGAAGATGTTGGTCAAAGGTTACAAAATTTCATTTAGACAAGAGGAATAAGTTGAAGAGTTCCATGTAAAACATGGTAACCTTGGTTAATAACAGTGTATTGTATACTTCAAAATTACTTTTAAAAAGTAGATTTTGGCAGGGCATGGTGGCTCAAACCCATAATCCCAGCACTTTGGGAGGCCAAGATGGGTGCATCACCTGAGGTCAGGAGTTCGAGACCAGCCTGGCCAACATGGTGAAACCCCATCTCTACTAAAAATACAAAAAACAGTCAGGTGTGGTGGTGGGTACCTTTAATCCCAGCCACTCAGGAGACTGAGGCAGGAGAATTGCTTGAACCCAGGAGGCGGAGGTTGCAGTGAGCTGAGATCATGCCATTGCACGCCAGCCTGGGTAACGAGAGAAAATCCATCTCAAAAAAAAAAAAGTAGATTTTAAGTATTCTCACCTCAAAAAATGGTACATGAAGTGATGTATATGTTAATTATCTTGATTTAGCCATTCCACAATATATGCATATTTCAAAACATATTGTACACCAATTGTATACCTTATGTGTATAATTTTTACTTGTCAGATTTAAAAAATAATTTTAAAATGAGCATTCATTTCAGAAAGGTAAATTCACTGCCATATATACTCAAATCACTCATTAAATCATGTGTATTCTCTCTCTTTTTTTTTTTTTTCTTTTTTGAGACAGAGTCTCACTCTTGTTGCCTAGGCTGGAGTGCAATGGCATGAACTTGGCTCACCGCAACC